CACACGCCATATTTCATTGAGCTTCCTTCACACGGATGAATAATGATGTTGTTTTCCCGTAAGAACATTCTAAACTAATTTGGAGGATACCTTTTTTTTTCAAAAACATGAGTGATTTATTCACAGTACGACTAAAGGTAGGAAAAAAAACCAGCGTATAATTTTTTTTATATAGAAAAAAAAACAAAACAAAAAAGCTTTTGAATTTAAGATAAAGAAAAGTTGAAAAGAATGAAGCATAAGAAAGAAAGAAGAGAAAAAAAACAAACATTAATAAATAAATAGACATCAGTAACAATTATTTTTGTAAATGAACTTCAAGATATTAAATTGTGTATATGTTAACCGATCTGAAAATGTTTAGTGTAGAAACAACAAAAAACGGCTATTTAGTGTATATTTGAATGTGTAAAACTCATTTTATGATTGGATTTTGTTCCGCTTAGAATGAATGTTAAATATTCTCGTCAGAAATTTCATGATTTATGTCCTAAAATTAGTTCATAAGTGAAACCATGGTGAATTTCTCTAAGATATATTTGTACATTAATGATACACTTACTTGGACAATATATTACTAGATTAGTTGAATGCAATGAAATGAGCTTGTCCTAAATCTAGGTCAGTTGTGCTAAAACGTTTTTTTTAAAAAAATTAGCTGAACAATAAATTTGAGCCTATAAACTAATGGTACATAGACAGATACTTTTTGAATAGAACGAAACTAACACTTAACTGTTTCAATATAAAAGTCCCTGGAAAGAAAATGTTTAACAACATATCAAAGACGTTAAAAATTTACTTATTTATGTAAGTGTCTATTGAAGAAGATTCAACAGAAGCTTTGTACAATTGGGAACGAATACAATGACAATAATTCATCACTGAGAGACGACAGATATTATGACTTTCAAAGAAGAATCAATAGAATTTTGTATATGAAAACTAACTTATGACTGTAGTATTGTATAGGTAAACGACAGAGTTATGAACAAGGTGAAGAATATAAACTATGACTATTAGATATTTTTGAATCCTCAGAAAAGTTTGAAATGGATACGAAAGAGAACTATGTATATAACTTGGTTTTGAGCGTTACTTTTACCGTTCTACCTAGTTGCATACTGCATTTCAGTTTGCCGTATTATTATTTGGTTTTATATAGTATTCATTCCTTAGCATATCATCATAATGTGATGAAGTTCTTTTACGGGTCCACAATAATGCATAAGATTGTCATTTTAGCAAACTACTTGATATAAAATCATTATGAATTTCAAGAATTTATCAGAAATTTATCATTTTTAATGTTTATTAAATTTATTTATTTGAACACATAAATAATGGTACAAGAATGCGCCAATGTTTGTGTTTAAATAATGGATCTGACACAACTAATATATACCAGACAAGCGCTTATAATAACATCTATATTATATGATAGTTTCCATTGAAACAACATTCAAGCAATAATTACAAAGCTGTTTGAACTAATATTTATTTATTTGGACACAAATATTAATACAAGGGGGCACCAAATATATATGCGCCACACAAAACAATGAGAATGGGAAGAGAAAAGTTAAGGAAGGTAAGGAGCGTAAAAAAAGAACAATAACGACCAGATTAATGTAAGATACTGTAATGATAATAATATTAATAATAATAATGGGGGAGACGGAAAGGTACAATCAGAAGAAATCTTTCAGTTAAGGAAGATACAACCACTTTTTTATGAAGAAAGTAAAAGCAGATTACAGCAGAATCGCCACTGGCTTCTATTCCGAGCCATATCTGATAACGTCTCTAGCCACTGTGTCGCACCATCTCTCGGACCCCAGCCAGGGAGTCGTGAAGGGCCAAGAAAAGCCAGCCCTTTTCAGCTTTCTTTCATACCACGACACCATGTCATATACTGACCACCTCTCCGCTTTTTCCAACCAGTCCCAGAGTCGGCAAATAATGCACGAGGTGGAATTCTCTGGGACGACATTCGTAGAACATGTCCAAGCCACCGAAGTTGGTGTTTCAAGATGGTGACACCAATTGGATTATCGTCTCTGTGACCGAACACACGATACCGAACATCTGCATTATTAGCATGGTGTTGCCACTGGATGTCTGCAATCCATCGGAGACAACGATGATCAAACAAAGAGAGTCGTCTAACATCCTCAACTCGGAGAGCCCAGGTTTCACAAGCATAGAGCAAACTGCTCTCACCGACGCGTTGTAGATCCGACCCTTTACAGCCAGACTGACATCACGAAGGCACCAAAGATGGCCAAGATTGGCATAAGCCGCTCTGGCTTTCACTATACGTGCATTGATCTCATCACTCCCACCCCCACCAGCACTTATGGAGCTACCCAGATACATGAACTTCTCGACTACTTCTATCTGCTGTTTATTAAATAACAAACATCGTTAATGCATAAACGTTCCAACTACGAATTATACATGAACATATGTATATTTATCTGGTTAATCTCTGATTTCAATAGTTGTGTATTGTTGAATTTCCCAAAAAAACAAACTAGAATGGAACAACTATCAAAGATTTTGCAAATGATGTTATTCAACGGTAAGAACTATTCTTCATAACTGATTGGTCATTGATAAATGATCAATCCCCTTTGTTTAGTCAGATGAATCGCTGGAGCTAGATCAGTACTAAGAGACTAGCCAAACAAAACATTAGTCGTTATTCAGTGATCAATCAATTGTAAATATCCCAGTCAGTCCGAATATCTCAATGGTAAATTTTCAGACTATGAAGCTGGTAAAACAACTCTGAATCCATTAGGCCGCACTAGTTCCACTAGGATTACAAATGGCCCCTGCTAACGAGCGCTGAATAGCACGAAACCTATGTCCAGGATGTTCTACTGTTCACATTCAGCCACCTACTATTATTTTTCATGGTTTATAAGTTCATGTAGAAATGTGACCACTAAAAAGAAAACTATTGTTAAAGCATTTCACGAAGCAGACATTTTAATTTTAATATTACGAAAAAGTTAGATTTTAGGACCGGATACAAGTGATTGGATCATTTGATGAAACCAACTGATAAACTATAAAATATAATTCAGTAAAGTTAGTGATTTTTTGAGAATTATAATACACGGTGGTTATACATATAAGGGAATATATTTTTCATACGTTGTAGTTGGACTTACTACGATGATAGCGTGTGCAAATTTCTTATCTAAAGAGTTACCTATCTTTTAAATACAATAGTTGAACTCGGTCTAAACTTCATGAGAAAGCAAATCCATTACGATAGTTTAATGTTCAACTCTTTTTCTTCAACACAGATTACACGAATTATTTTAGCCCGTCAGATAAATTGTCCATTTTATATTTGAGATGATATATTTATGCATATTAATGACCACAACCAATATTTATTGGAAAAATCAAAATCTACAACTTACATATTGTGCAATTTCACAAATCCAAAAACAATTACCGGTTGGATTAAGATACAAAATAATCAAAATGTGATTATCGAGTAATGAAGACGTTTACTATGTTATAGGAAATAAAGCCTTATTCACACATAGTAATTTGTAGTTTTCTCAGATAATGTAAAAATTATAATTTGTTCATTATATGAAAAATGCAAAAATATTATTATAATTTCTCTACCTACTTGTGAGTAGTTAAAATGTTTATAAAAAATATTCATTGACCTTTATATATGATGACAACGTGGAGTTGGGAATCTACTGTTTTGACGTGTCTACATTTATTCATTAGGTGTAGATACCAAAATAATTTGCTTTCAAGTGATCCCAATAAAAAAATCTGCGATCTAGTCAGAGAATGGTTACTCAGTTACAAAGAATTTATTCAACTAAACACACATTTATGCCTGTTATCCCTCGTGAAGGATCATAGGCCAACCACCAGTATTATATATCCAACTCTGTCCTAGGCAGTTCTTCCCAGTTGCTAGAGCTTGCCTTGTGATGCAGTTTAGTGATTTCCGGAATGTGCTTCCTATCCAATCCCAACGTTTTTTCCTAATTTCCACTTCATCTCGAAGCCGGTTTGTCTCTCGCACAATAGGCTGTTGCTGATTGTATTCGACATTCAGTATTTTGCGTAGACAATTGTTGGAAAACATGTGTACCTTTTTGATTATGCTTGTAGTAGTTCACACTGTAGTGATTGCTGATCGTAGATAATTTGTGTCATCAACTAAAACCACATGGTAGCAGCTTATGGGTATGATTGCCCTGAGATGTTAATAACTTGTAGTTGAGAAGTTTACACAAGATTGATTAAAAGCGACATCCCTAACAAATGTTTCTGTATTCAACAGTACGAAGTATATATGGATACGTTTACTGTTCATTTCATTACCGGATCTTCTGCTTAAATACTTATCATGATATTTCTGAAGTATGATAATTTCGTGTTACGGTTCGTTTTTCCTATATTCACTAATGATGAATCTGGTTACGTAATAGCATTCTAAACTCCACATTTCCCAACTGCTCGCTCGTTCCTAATATATTGTACAGTAATCTGTTAGTAACATAGATGCAGGGATAGCATGAGATGAATCCTATGAATTCCCTCAATGAATAACTGTCAGTATCAGTGACCGCTATTTGCGTGAATTTCACTTATATGTCAAACATAAAGTCTATAGTTAAAATTTAGATTCCTAATTAGAATTAGTACTGCTTTTAGTCATAATATTCCTTAAATAACCTTCTTTCTTAGTGAAACAATGGGTCACACGAGTGTTTTTAGACAATATAACTTGACTGAGTAGTCATTACAATAAGCAAATCTATGAGACTATATCCTAAAGTTGCGAATTACTTTTAACTGCAACAAAATCGGTTATATGATAGATCACTATACCTAAGAAGAAGAAACACAATTACGCTTCAACGTCCTTCTATTAAAACAATGATAAACAAGGAGAGAAAATAATAATTAGAAAAAACTATTGTTTTCTATTTCATTTATTATTTTTCTCATACAAATGAACTAGCTATCGATAGAATTTTCGTTATATCCCCTGATAAACTTCGTAATCGCGCTGGTACTGGGACAAGTATTCGTGTACCTAGTGGATTGCCATCATTATCAATAAGCACAACATTGTTTGAGTCAAAACGTGGCCAACCATTAACAGATGGTAGTCGTGCACCAACAATCCAACCTTTTTTCATTTCTCCATTAACAGCAACCAATACTTTATCACCTGAAAAATGTAGTTTTAGAAAATTTAAGGGAATAGAATTGAACACCGTATATATATATTGTCATTGTGTGAATTATATATATATATATATATATATATATATAACTGTGAAGTATAAAGAATCTAGATGTCAGCCCAGACAAAAGATGAATTGAATGATTGATCATCTAATGGTTTATCTCAAATGATAACTAAATTTAATAAGATGAATATGATTTAGATACTTGTGGAATGATTTTTGAAAGCTTCAGTTCTATATGAAATATTGGCATTAGTGAGAACGATGAAAATTTTAAAATTTAAATCATTCAACAGTCAGACAACTAAAAGTATCAATGGAAATTTGAGTTACAAGTCTTACTTCATCATTTAAAATATGACATTCGATTAGCAAATACATAATGATGAAGTCGATTACAGTGATCAAGTGTTTGCATAATATTAAAATAATTTTGTTTCCAAGATGACGAAATTTCCGATTATTGATTGTCAAATTATAAATAAACAATTACTGAGCTTTTTACCTTCAACTTTGTTGGTTTAAGAAATTAGTGTATCAATGTGTGTGCAAACGAAAAAATATTGAAATTATGCGGTAACGAATGAAACATTTTCATATTCTTATAATAGTAAACAAAGTATTGATATATAACATTAATTGTAAAATAAAAGCCATTTTGCATCATCAAATAATTTCTGAGATAATAATCATTATGCAGAAATTCAGCAATTTCCCAAGCTGATGTTATAAGCAGAAATGGATGATTGTGATATGATGGAAAGAAAAGTCAATTTCCGATTGATTTGCTCATTATGAGTTTTGTTCAACATTAATTCCCTTCTAATTCAATGTTATCATTCACTGTAGTAATTCTTTTCTTTTCTCAGAATGATATTTTCTTCTGTATAATATACGATCTTCTTGCATTCACTTGACATGAATTATGCTCAGTAAATGATTTGTTATAACTGAGTATGTGATGTAATCCTAATTATTAATTTAAATGGGTGTACAATCAATATGTAAACCAGTGTATTTTAGACGAGATTCGATTCATCGTCGTCATAGTGTTTTGGGGCTAATAAATCTTCACTTATACCAGTCTTGTGTTCTTACTTTCGCATCATGGGAATTGCTGAGGTCCCTCGTTCCTAGTATAAGTGATCAGCGCATTTTCCGGCACAACAATTGCGACGACGCAATATAACAATTGATCCCATCCCCGTCGCCCATTGTTATATTGCGTCGTCGCAATTGTTGTGCCGGAAAATGCGCTGATCACTTATACTAGGAACGAGGGACCTCAGCAATTCCCATGATGCGAAAGTAAGAACACAAGACTGGTATAAGTGAAGATTTATTAGCCCAAAAACGCGACGACGATGATGATCAAAATAGTCTAAAATACACTCATTTATATATTGATTTTACACCCATTTAAATTAATAATTAGGATTAAATCACTTATATGAAAAATACTTAGAGTTATAACAAATCACAGACTGAGTATAGTTCATGTCAATGGAATACAAGAATATCGTATATTATACAAAAGAAAATATCATTCTGAGAAAAGAAAATAATTACTACAGTGAATGATCATCACATTGAATCAGAAAGGAATTAATGTTGAACAAAACTCATAATAAGTAAATCAATTGAAAATTGATTTTTCTTCCCATCATATCAGACTGCTAGCAGTAGAATCGAAGACGCCTGTTTCGTTCTATTTGGGACTCATCAGTTAGATGCACCTGGATCTTAAAGTTCACTCTGGACTCAGCAGCTAAGTGTGTAACGCGAAGGTGTCTGAAGCGAACAAACCTCAAATCAGACGAAACGCGCGTCGTGGATTCCAATGCTACCCGCCATTTATCTATGCGTATAATGATTGTGACTTAAGGCGATTCACACAGGATGAACAAATGCCAAAGGAGACTGATCACTTGTAGTCCTAAACATCAACGAGAATATTCGAATCAATACAAATTAATGAAATTAGGGGTGATACTGCATTTTGCATATAATGATGCTTAGTTAACACTGAGTAAAAATTGAAACGTTACAATAGAATTTTTTGTAAACTCAAATGATTACCACTAAAAGCGGATCGAAATTAAGTAATTTCAATCAGTCAGTCAATCAAACATAGAATAGAAGAACGTAGTATGTGTGTACATCATTTCAAGTTGACATATCCCATTACCACGGCGAGATGGTATTATCCAGGGTAAATGCTCAAAGTAGTAGAGGTAGTAACAGTATTATTGGTAACAGAAAAGACTATGCATCAAAGATACAGCTCGAGAAAGTAATATATATTTATATATTAGTTAAGTAAGACTTTCTTTTTAAAAAAATTAAATTAAATAACTTCAGTGTACATTACCTATAGTTCCTTTATTTCGTTTATTATAAACACGAATACATTTTGCCGGTTTAATTGATAGTACTTTTGAACCTAATGAAAGTAAATTGGACACATCATTCATATCTTTAACTGGTTTTGATAGTTTTTGATCAATGTTAGGAACTTTCTTGACTGGTTGATCTTTACCAGTGTTTATATGGGTTGTGGGAGCAATACTACTCCATGGACTATTGTCAACTACACGTAGACGTGTTTGCGGAGCTATAAAATACAGTGGTCCATGACCTTCATTAATTGATGTCCTGATGCATAACAACACATAGATAGATAGGATAAACAAAGCAGATTAAAAAAAAACAATAATGCAGGATAAATGAATTATTGTGTAGTTTAGAATAGAAAAATTAAAATGTTGATACGCCTAAAATTTTGACTGATGTTTAACTTGAGGAATCTGCAATAACATTTGAATTAAGGTCAATATTCTTCGTGAAACTATTGTTGGGATAAGACACAAATGGAGAGGTACTTAAAGTGATCATGAAATGATTACAGTTGAGCAACTAGTAAAAACTAGGAAGCATTGAAGAGACGTTTAGTTGTAGTTAAGGCCATTTTGAGTAGTATATATCTACTACCCGATAGTTTATAGGGTGAACATAAGACCTTTCGATTTTACTGTTAGCAGTAAGTCTGAATTCAATAGTTTACATTTCCAACTTCAGAATGCAATCCTCAAAGATGATATATACTCGTTCTTCTATGTTGATCGACACATGTCAGGTATGAGTGTTATGGTACTCTTATATGAAGTTTGGATTTGTGTATTAGAGTTATCTATTTATCTATTCTTTTAAACACATCAATATAGGTACAAAGGGATACAAAAATAAATGTGCACCACACAATAAGAAAATGAGATTGTGAAGAGATAGAAGACGTAAAGTGAGTATAGTGGATGGAAATGAGTTAATGTGAGTAAAAAATAATGGGAGAAACAGTCCAGTTAAGAAAAATACAACCCAAAATGGTTCTTTTAATTTAACAGGTTTCTTTCACCTATATGAGTAAAGGAAAATAAAATTACGGTAGCATCACGATTGGTTTCTGTTCTGAGCCAAGTCTGATAAGCCATTAGGTTGCATTACCACTCGGACCCAAACCATAGATTCGTGATGAGCCGAAAGAAACCAGTATTAAACAACTTTCTTTTATACCTTGGTACTATGGCATAAATTGGCTGTTTGTGTGAAGGTTAGTGGTACTAATTAGCTGCTCGAAAAGTGGTAGTTAGAACTAGAATCAAACTTATAACTTACCGATTGATGGCGTTTTTTATCATTAGGCCACAGTTTCATAAGTTCAACAACTTTTATATGATATGAACAACTTCTTGATACTATATTTTGATGCCCAGACTGTATTGTTTATTATCAGTAATGACTCAATTTTTGCAAGATATATGCAATTAATATTTATAAAGTTTATCACCAAACTATGACAAAGTTATAAACTGTGAAAGTGAAATGCAAATTAACGCTACTACTCGATAGTCGATCTATTGGTCTAATGAAGAATTCAGTGTATAAGACAGATAATGATCTAGTTACGTGGACTATAAAAATGATGCAATAAAAGTACCAAGATAGCGATTATACTGTCATTTAATTTACCTATGTATTGATACACAATTAAGACTATACATTGTAGACATTCAAACTAGTCGTTTTTCTGGGGTAACAGACGAACGCCATTATTATAAAGTTTCCCTTATGTCATCTGATTAGTTACGTAAGTTGACTGGGTCCTTTTTGAAGAGATGTGTGGTATTTTGTGCATATGTCTAGTTAAAGCGATGACATATTGAATTATGATCTTTAATCGTTTGAATAATCACAAAAATCAGTGATTGGTTAACTTTACTATTTTAGGACCCAGCGATAGTGGACACGTCAAATCCTTTGTATAAATATTCCCTAGAGTGACTACTTCATGTAGACCCCCTCCCAAAAATTCGAAAAGAATTCATGCGTACAAAACAAGGGAATAAATATAACTTGATTATCCGATAAATTCAATACTGAAAACTGATTTTAATGAAATTGGAGAATTTTATAAACCACTCCTTTAAGGCTCCATATTAGATGAAGAATATATGACAGATTGTAATGGATAGCACTAAAAAACCAAATCAAAAAATATCCCATTCATATTCTTACCATAAATTTCTTGCCCGTTGATATAAATTTCCTTCTTTGGAAAGAAGACTGTTATGTAATACACGTAACTAAGATAATATTTAACAAGGTAAAATAGAAAGAGCAAACGATGTAAATCAATCAAAAGTCTGAAAAATCCAACTACTATTTAGATAAACAGGATAAAATAATGAGTAGGATATGTTGATAAGCAGTTTAACTAAACTTTGTTTATGGTTCTTTTTCCATCGATTCACCCAGCAACAAACTGGATGCAATAGTAGTATCGATGATCCTTAAACGACCCAAGGTTATTATAAGTACTGATACACAAATTTATTGAGGCCTTTGAAATTATGTAGAAAGTTGTACTTTAGGTCATACAATTAGTAGTTTGTTAAAATAACTACACTTGTAGACATGATCAATGATATACTGATAAAAATACTTCATTTCCGTACCTTATTGCTCTAAATACCTTAGAGTAAGTAGACAATATATCCTTGAAGAACCATCACTTTGGCAGATTTGATGGGCTGATAGAAAAAAACTTGAAACGAAGCTTACATGGTAATCGTCAATCTGTCTTACTTTATGATATTAAAGGGTATCTGGTAAAGTATAAGAGATGGTTTATTGGGCAACGGTAAGTTGTATTCTGTTACATGGCCAGTGAACAATTACTACTGAAAACGGTTATAAAGGTAGTAGAATCACTAAGTAAAAAATGCTAACAATAGAAGTTTGATTTGCTATGGAAATAAAGTAAACTAGTTAACAAAAGTAGATCGACAAAGATTAAAAGAGCTGTTAATCAATTGGACGTAGAGCCTGATCATAGTTCTCACACCATATTAGCACGATGCATAGCGAAAGAGACTCAAATAATATAATAGCAATGACGATGAAGTAGATTAAAGATGAAGTATGTGGTTCGAAAAGACAGAAAAAAAGGTTTATATGAAGGAATACGGTAATTCAAGATCGAGAGGATGATTGAATGCATCTGTGCTATTGTGGACGATCTACAGCCATGTCATCCGAAGTTAGATAGCCACTGAGCGTGACAAACGCACGGACTCTAATCAGATAGTCTGTATCTACCAACATGGCTCAAACCAACAGACAGTAATTCCGTGAGCTGAAGTACTGTTTCATGTTGGTCCGCCAGCCTTCTCCTAAACTACTTCTACACCAGAAATAATCATGCATTGAGATAGACAGTGGTTAAGCATGCACATTACACGCCTTTACCGACTCAGTCAATAAAAATTCATGGCATCATCAACCCGTTTGTCCTTTCCTATGCCTGACACCAAAATTGTTGGCTCAGTTGCTGCATGAAATTAGAGAAATACTTCAAAGACATCTATGATAAAAAACCAAAGGTGGTAGTCTAACATTAATCGGTTCATGATCTCAATCAAAAACGTAATAATCTCCACAACCCCCATACTAGTAATCAACATGTGCTCAATAGTGACTAGCTTCGTGAGGGAATTCTCGGAGTTCTGGTGAGAAGCCGTGATCAGTGGAGCTAATCCATATCGGGTAGAGACAGGTATCTACCTCAGTACGATGGAAGATGGTCGCGCAATTTCGTGGATTGGTTGATGTTAGACAACATCACCATTGGATGCCGGCTCAGTGGTACAGTTGGTTAAGCGTACGCGCGCGGGACCGAAGGCCCTGGGTTCGAATCCCACGAGCGGGATCGTGGGTGCGCACTGCTGAGGAGTCCCGCAATAGGATGAAAAGGCCGTCCAATGCTTCTAGGTTTCCAAAGGTGGTGGTCTAACATTAATCGATTCATAATCTCAAGCAAAAAACTTATAGCTTAATCATGTCTTTTAACTATCATATTGCTCAGCAAAAAATACTACGGTCTCCACAAATCACCGATACTGATAACGATCACGTGCTCACTGGTGATTAGCTTCAGGATGTAGTTCCTGGAATTCTAGTGAGAAGCCATGACCAGTGGAGTCCAGTCCGTGTAGAGTGAGACATATATCCACCGAAAACGATGGATAAAAAGATTGCAAGATCGTGGATCGATTGAAGCTGGACATCGAGAGCGCTGGATACTGGATCACTGGTCCAGACGTTAAGTCTCCACATGGGAAACTGAAAGTCCTGTGTTCGAGTCCTTATTGTGCGGGATCATAGATGCACACTGCTATGGAGTATCATACTAAGACTGGACGGACGTCCGGTACTTCTAGATTTTCAATAGTGAAGTAGCTTAGATTGACTCGTGATTTCAACTGTGAATATAAATTAATTCCTATCATGAGAAAACCAATCGATCAAGCACATTACAAACATAAGCGAGTACACACCAACATAGATACAAAAGTACTATCTTTCATTTTTATTAATTCATTTATTCTATATACACATATTTCAAGCTTTACAGTTATTCCCTGAGTTTGAAATATGTTATCATCATTATTGATTTTTTTGTTTCAATTTAAAATAAATGAACGTGATCGTTTTCGACGAATCAACAGCGCTTTATAATCTTCTTCCATTTGATAACGCTTGGTGACCTTTGGTCGATCAATATTAATCTCTGGTAATTGAATGGTGAATTCCTCTGTATGTGGTATAGATTGATTCGCTTTTAATATTTCTTGTATATCCAACGGTAAGGAGGCAATATCATTTGACGATATAACAGCATCTTGATGTGTAAGTTGGCTGTTATTGATTTTAAGTAATTCATTTAATTGATCCTTTGGTAAATAATCATAATAATCATGGTAATTATATAGGTAGAAAGGCAACCATGTTTGAATTAAACCTGAAAAGATTAAATACAAACAAACAGCTCACTAGTTAAATTTTTTTTAAAGGAAGGAAGATTATCTTTATTATGTAAGATTATCAATTGATAATGTATATTTATTTCATCTAACAACCGACAAAATCTTCTTTCATGCAAAGGATAAAACGGAAGATGCTGTTAAACTATATCTAAGTTAAAATCCAATGATATACACGTTTAAATATATTCAATTTGTGATATAACACTATCTATATTGAACGTCATCAATTAAGTCTCATTGTGCTTCTGTTCTTCAAATTCACTGACTATACACAAGTTATAAATTTTTAATAGAACTCGGAGAACTATACCACAAAGTTAGTCATCAGTAAGTAAATGTAATATTTACTTAGTTAATTTCATGGTGATTTTTCGTAATTGTTATCACAGACTTATGTTAGCTTGGGAAATATTGTCCAAATCGGAACTCTGAGGAATGTGAACACAGGACTATATATATATAAGTCGAAACCAGGTTTTGAAAACGGATTGTTTAACAATATCTAATTAAATTGAAAGTTATTCAGTCCCTTTCAGTTTTTAATGGCTTCCTAGTTGATATCAGTCCATGAAGACAATTATATTTCGTCAAACATGTTTTGAACATTTCCATACTATTTTGAGAAATGACACAAATACCAATGGTCTTATAAGTGTTATATGAATGGTAAGTAAACACATATAGTCTCTCATACCGCCTTCTCCTTTCGCCTCCAATCCATGCACACATAATTCGAAACAAACACTTACCTAAATCACGAGCTTTTTCAACTTCATGTTGTAAAATCTTATACTGATGTCTGCATATACCTATAAATATAGTCAATTGTAGAATAAATTAGTTTAATTTGTGCAAATAAAAAACAGATTAACAATAAGTATCCAAAAATTATCGATTATTTTTATCCATTATAAATGGTCATTATTTATTTTGTTAAGTCATTAACATAATCAGAGGAGCGATTCATGTACCGAGTAGACTTTCAGATATGGTTCTTCCAATGAGAGCCGCCAGTGTTGTTATATTGCCCAGTGATTCATCAAACTGAAGTAGATAGAAAGGGAATCAGAGAGCATTTAGCTCACTCACTGTTTGAGATTCAAGTACGTTAACCACTAAAAGTTATTATCCATACAATATGGATAACTTAAACAATCTATCTAGTCACAGAGCAAAACACATATTTCGCGTTATAAAATCAAGGATGATGAAGAGATGCAAAAAACGTTGTCAAAATAATGTAGTAGTCGTGATAACGAGTAACAATAAGCATCCAGAGTATGGTTCGAAAAGACAGAAATGAAAGAATATTTACGAAGAGATATTGGATCTCAATATCTGTAGGAAGATAAAAAGTGAATGAAACTCTGCTGTTGTCGATTCTAAGGTATTTCGCCCTATGTTTCTGACCACTTGATTACAGTAATTGCGCAGACTCTAACTAGTTAATTTACATATATCAAAATGGCTCACGTTAACATTCAGTGGCTTCATGGACTGATATCAAGTTTTAGTCTCGATGCTCATAGCTTTTGTATACAAACAACAGTTTTTAAAGTCTAAAATATTTAGTCAGCCGTTCAGTGGTTCTATTGCCACATAACGACTCAGCTAACGTACGGGTATCGGCCACGTTAGGTAATTTTAATTCCAGAGTCAAAGAAACAATACTAATGATATCAATGGCTAGTGGGAAGCTGGACGTAGGAAATAGAATGAGGAAATAAATAAAAATCGGTAATGAAAGGAAATATAAAATAGTATTAAAGCTGATTAGAGATAGAGGATCAATTCATCCATACCAATGACTGAACATTTATAAAAAAAAGTTCAAAGTATGCCATTACTTAATGTTTTTTAACCATAGATTCTGATTAGTTAACAGGTTACAATCTTAACAAATAGAAAATAACAAGAATTTCCTAAAATTAGTAGAAAGATAAAAGTTGGATAAATGTAAGCTAGTAAGTTGAGTTTTTATAAAACATAATTTTAATTAATTTGTTAAACCACAAAATGAAAAAGCACACGTGTTTCTAGATGGTGTAATTCAATTTTCTGAAATGATTGTATGAGTTAGTTGTGATACTGCATAGTATCAATACTCCTTAACTTTCTCTAGTCTTGAGTACTTTTATAAGTAGATATACTTTAGATTAATGAACCTAGAGGTCGAACTCCACGATGCTTAATGACATTTGAAGGCACTGGATAGTATCAATAGTCTTTGTGTACAAAATATGTTTTGTCGTCTGTTATTGATACATAATGCTGCCTAAGATTACTGAGTTGAATTTATTTACTTGGAAATAACAAAGTTAGTTAACGTTATCGTTTCTTTTCCCAGAAAAAAGTTATACCATAATTTGAACAAGCTATTATTGACAATCTCAATAAGACTATGAGATTCATATTGAAAGACTTTTATTTTTAAAAAGAAAAATTTTTCGTTTAAATGAGTTAGATATTCAGAAAATTACTGCCTTAAATCAACTATGAACAAAAATCGATTATTTATACATTATTCTACATGATCATTGTATAAATTTGATTGCACTTCATTCCATAAAACGTATCCAATTTCACAACAACTCATAAGTTTGGGCGTGTTTGGACATTTTAGACAACTATGGTAACTATTTATTATGTATAGCACCAGATAGTTGGTTAAACATTGGTAAGCAAAGTAATTTTTAACCAATGATTTATTCGGTAAAATTCGAATATCTAAGCTAAATGAGCCGCAACTTTACAAATGAATATATATGTGACTAAGTTTTGTTTTACTGATACATTTTATTATTATTTGTAAAAATTTGTATCTCTTTATTGTTTGTAATCAGGACACGAACAGCAGACGCTAACTCACATATCACGAACCTGTTTATGTACTCTACTTTGAGATACACCAGTCATGTAAAGGGTAGTAATACTCTAGTGTATGCTACTGACGTTGATAGATATAAGTAGTATGTATCACCAATCGAAAGTGAGATAACTAGCAGCAGAAGATCGAAGAAAAAAGAACGACAACGAAATCTGAGACGGTTGATTGACATTTTTCAAATTAAGCATTTACTACATGGTTCTCAGATTTTACTGATGTAATTTTGTTTTCAAATACATTCTATTGTCCCCACTTGTGTTCTCGTTCACTACAGTGCTATCCGCCTGCTCAAACCGACATAGGTAGAACGTCGTTCGAACGTATAACCTACTGATTAAAAGCCAAGCGTTCCGTCCACTAAGGTACCAGGCTCATATCTAGGGCTGTGTTTAATCGGTTCTTCAAGATGACCCCCTCGACACTTCATGCAGTTACAAGCTAATTATATTTTTTTGGACAGAGGGTCGCAGTGGAACTCAGGAAGTGAGTCTCGTCTTAATTGCAACTCACCAACTGGACATGTCTGCGTCTCGGAGTTCATGTTCATAATTAGTAGGAGACGTAGTAAAAACTAGATTCGAGTCTCACTGGGAAAATTAACGCTGGGATGTACATACATCCAGCTGACTAATCCCGAGTACAGTGAGACGGACGTCCCGAGTCCCGCTACCAGTCACTATTTGAAACAAAATATGAAAGTGCATTTTACGTCGTAGAAAACAGAAAAAGGAAATAATCGACTGCTTATTGAATAGATGAAAGGTTAGTAAAAAATATTATACATACGTTCGTATAGAAACGCTTACCAGTTTTAGACAATGGAAAGATTTCTAAAGTATCCGGATTGATAAACTGTTTTAACAGTTCAATGTGCTAAATTAGAAAAAAAAGGTGATAGGCGAGATTAAATAATAAGTGTATGACGTTCAGAATAACAATATTTAAAAATGGAGTCAGTTTTTGAAATAAAAGGATAAATTAAGGTTGGAATCCATTCAGAGACAATTTACACTTCGCATTCTTGGGACTGATTGTACCTCAAATTATAAGTTTAGATGTAAGAAACTTGGACTCGACCTTTTATGGAAGAGGACACTCATACTAATTCTAATCTTTTTCTTCAAAATAGTTAATAAACTACCTTTTAAATCCAATGAAGTAGTTCAATATGTAAAAACTCTTACAGCATTCGTAACTCTTTGTTACTAGTGGAACGATCACATTCTAAATCTTCTCTTTATATGAATTACTTTACTAGTACATTTTCCAGACTCTGGAATAATCTACCACAATATATCCGCAAGATAAAATCACTCCCATCCTTTGTTCACTGCATCGATGCTTATTGCTCCTCTGAAAATGCATTAACTGTTCTAGCATCTGTAAGTGTATCTTATTCCACAAGTGAGATTATAGGAACTTTAAAGATTTAGTCGTTCTTATTACTGAATCTATTAAATAAACCTCTCTACCAGCTGTTACTTTACACTAACATCGTCCCTGGCAACCTTAACTAATTTGAATAATATCTAACACGAACAGTTCATTATAAAATAACCTGGCATATGTATTATGCTAGATCTGACTAACCTATCGTAGTAATTATTGCCTTTTTGTTCCGTGCTCTCTGCTTCCGTTTTATTTTCTCTAGTTGTAGATGGTTATAATTAATTCGTTATGGCGCAGGAAACGACCTTAAATGCACCGTTCATGCATCAACACTATGTCCACTTAAGAAGAATTAAAAGTTCCAGGCTGTTGTATTTCATTGCTGTAATACATGTCATAAATGTACTACCTAAACAATTTTTGAACTAGCAAACTTAAAACAATCTTATGTTACATGTTTGCTATCTACATTTAATAGGACTATTTATATCAAACTGATCATACCTGTAAACTGGCGTAAATTCTGTGATTATTATATTCAGAATATATATTATTATTAGAAGTTTTGTAATACATTATGCGATAAACAAAATGACAAATTTATTTGTTGAGAAAATTGTTTCATTTCAAGATAAAAAATAGAGACCAAATATATACGTATGAACTGGATGTTGCGTTACATTTGTTATATGAAGGCTGGAGATACTACTTAATTGTTGTAAGTAGTGGATTGGGATGTAAACACTTGTAACTGAAAGTGGAGCTCATGAATGTTCGTTTTACAACCCCTCTAATATACGTATTACTATTCGGGTATAATTTTAAATAAATAGACAAGATGTACAGATTCAAGATGAATGGGATATTGTGGCTAAATTATTTATCGCTGTACTGAAATTTCACCAATTATAGTTTCTTGGTTTAATACAGTCGATAATCAGTGTGTAAACTTCCAAACGTAACAGATAGAACATTATCATGAAACACGTCTATGTTTGGTTTCAAATAGAATAGCGAGATTATTGAACACAAAAGGATCTAGGATATATTAGAGACGATCCATACAGATACTATTATCAATTTTTAGCCACACTACCTGAAGTTTTCAATTGTTGATTATATTTTTCTTCCGGATCCCAACCACGAAGCCAGTGTACTCCTACTCCCAGACAACTTAAACTCAAACTTCAGTAACTACATGGACTGACATTAGACCATGATTTGGTTTGACCATCTATAATCAGCTTTCCAAGCCACACTTACGCTGGCTTTCATAACAGTCAAGTAGGGAATGATTGGACATATGAAGCACATGACCCAGCCCTTTCGGCTGATAAAAATTTGCGTCTGCACTAACTCATTCGTCAGCTTTATCAATTACTTTAGGGGTGATGTTCGGATTGTTCACTCCAATGTTTTATCATAGGTAGAGAATGCTTTGGAAACACTTGTGATCGAATACTTGGTATAGATATAAGTGAAAGCTATTGACCCAAAAACGATTTCAGATAGAAGCAGGGAATAATTAAATTTCAATTAAGAAGACGCATATATTTGAGAACATTTATTAATCCCAAGTATAACAACCATACATTAATATGCTAATTACTCAACGGGTATGTTTGGTAACGGTTCATTCTGTTATTCTACGAATAAAAGGTATGTTTGCGAAAGACAGATGGCTATAATAAATGTTGGGTAATCAATTGTACGTATCCTTTAGGAGCTGTTAATGAGAAATGTAGAGACTAAACGTAGAGCTCTGGAGAAGAAAGATGAATTAGTCGACAGTTATAAACTTTCAATAATGTAGATAGTTTGGGATATGCATATTACGCAAGCTAAGGCAGCGTCTACCTCTATACAATATACTGGAGATTGTGGAAAATCGTAAGGTGAGTAGTTTACCTGAGACCATTCAAATGTTGGGAATCACTAGCTGAAGGACACACTTGATATCTTTTGAAATGAATGTATATTTGGAATACATATCCACATTAATTTGAAACTTTATGGTTTTCAAGGTAAACAAAGTGATTCTAAATGACAGTAGCATATCAAGTAAAATAAAGAAAAGCCATGTCACGAGTTGATGTTTATACTTTCAATGAAGTTTAAGAAACAGACTAACTTACTCGATGATTTAATACTAAATATTCATCACGACAAATGGGGCATGGATTTGAGCTTACGAATTTTCCAAAATGCTGAGAGCAATCAGAAAAAAAGTTAGAAGTCAAATTATAAGGAAATAAGAAATAAAAAGTTTCGAATGAGTAGAACTTAAGCAATGTTTAGCATGAGATTTGAAAAGTCAGGGTTTGATTACTGGATATATGGCCGTTGATACGCATTGAGGCAAAAATACCAAATGCGAAGTATATGTACCTAGTAATTCTTACAGTGATTGCCACAAATAGTTCACAAAATCTCTAAATTAATTCATTACTCAATTTACATACTACTTAAATGAATGATGATCTAATGTCCAACAGCAACTTGCTAAGTTTAACGATCAGAAATTAGTAGGACCAATTCGGAAGACAGTGCAGAAGTTTATTAACCCGTGAGATTGTAGAATGACCTTATTTTGTCACCGATTAAATGAAGTTGAGAACTAACAACCGTTGTATTATGGCTTAACACCACGTAGTCAAGAGGCTTTGAAAACGATTTCGTAAGTGGTCAAAATCACACACTCATTTCTTAATACATAGTCTTTTGACTTATTGGCACTGTCATAGATTATAAGTTGCGTAATTCATGCATCTAATTTAGTTTGATTCATGAAAATATCGGCGCATGTGTACAATACATTTGAGTTTAATCTGATACGAGGTGGTACATTTGTTAGATGTCTTCAGTCGAAATCCAATTTAGGGCGACTGATCTAAAAATTCAATTCATTGGATGAAACAAGTGAGAATTGCATTCACAAAGAAACATTGCTAATTATTGTCAATAAGGTGCTGTATTGTACACTTTTTCCTATGTATGGAGAATGATTACATACAAAAAAAGTCTAAGATTTCAAAATTGGGTAAGACAATATACTAGTCAAATTCGTATACAACAACGAACAAGTGCCTGTGCATTGTGAGCTGACTATATAACCACTGCGAACTTGTACAAATCAATATTTATTTTATCCATCTAAACATCCGGATAACATTGTCAATTACAGTACAATACTGCAAGCAGTTTGTGGACGATCTTGTTCCCCTTCTAAATATTACCAAATGAAACACACGATTGCGTACAAGCTATTGGTCGAGGATGTATTGACCATATCTTCACCCTCTCTCAAGTGTTAAAACACCGTCATATTTATCAAAGGTCAACAATCGTAGTGTTTCTTGACATTAGGGTTGCCTTCGATTAGTTGGACAGGACTGTTCTCTGGGATCGCCTATTGTAGAAGGGTGTCAGAGAACTTTATTAACATCTTAAAGGCCCTATATACAAACACCTCAAGTAGAATGAGAGCATACAATCACCTTTCTCCATTGTTCCATTTGAGCAGTGGGGTTAGATAGGGTTGCCCAATCTCACCATTACTCTTCAACTTTGCCATCGATGGCATTCTGGAAACAGCTCTGATGGATGTAAGTAATGGTGGTGTGGATCTGTTGCCTGGAGAAAGACTTCTCGACTTTGAGTATGCGGATGATATCGTCTTACTGTGCGATAATGCCCAAGCCAAGCAATCCGCACTTAATTAGTTGGCAATCAGTGTCCGTAGGTACGGTGTGTGCTTTGCACCTTCGAAGTGCAAAGTCATTCTACAAGACTTGCAGGATTCTAATCCTGCACTCACCCTGGATGGTAAGCTGATAAAAGCAGTCGAGAAGTTCGTGTATCTGGGTAGCTCCATAAGTGCTGGTGGTGGCGTGAGTGATGAGATCAATGCACGTATAGTGAAAGCCAGAGCGGCTTATGCCAATCTGGGCCATCTTTGGCGCCTTCGTGATGTCAGTCTGGCTGTAAAAGGTCGGATCTACAAAGCGTCGGTGAGAGCAGTTCTGCTCTATGCTTGTGAAACCTGGGCTCTCCGAGTTGAGGATGTTAGACGACTAACTGTGTTTGGTCATCGTTGTCTCCGAAGGATTGCTGACATCCAGTGGCAACACCATGCTAATAATGCAGATGTTCGGTATCGTGTGTTCGGTCACAGAGACGATAACCCAATTGGTGTCACCATCTTGAAACACCAACTTCGGTGGCTTGGACATGTTCTACGAATGTCGTCCCAGAGAATTCCACCTCGTGCATTATTTGCCGACTCTGGGACTGGTTGGAAAAAGCGGAGAGGTGGTCAGTATATGACATGGTGTCGTGGTATGAAAGAAAGCTGAAAAGGGCTGGCTTTTCTTGGCCCTTCACGACTCCCTGGCTGGGGTCCGAGAGATGGTGCGACACAGTGGCTAGAGACGTTATCAGATATGGCTCGGAATAGAAGCCAGTGGCGATTCTGCTGTAATCTGCTTTTACTTTCTTCATAAAAAAGTGGTTGTATCTTCCTTAACTGAAAGATTTCTTCTGATTGTACCTTTCCGTCTCCCCCATTATTATTATTAATATTATTATCATTACAGTATCTTACATTAATCTGGTCGTTATTGTTCTTTTTTTACGCTCCTTACCTTCCTTAACTTTTCTCTTCCCATTCTCATTGTTTTGTGTGGCGCATATATATTTGGTGCCCCCTTGTATTAATATTTGTGTCCAAATAAATAAATATTAGTTCAAACAGCTTTGTAATTATTGCTTGAATGTTGTTTCAATGGAAACTATCATATAATATAGATGTTATTATAAGCGCTTGTCTGGTATATATTAGTTGTGTCAGATCCATTATTTAAACACAAACATTGGTACAAGGAGGCACCAAACACACATACGTTACACGGATCCATGTTAATATTATCATCTACATTATATATGATAATAAACACAATGACAGTAACAACAGAAACTATGCACCTAGAAATATCCTGCTATAACAGAGTTTAGAGATATCATCATGAAATCCAGTAAATAAGTGCTCGTCGACAAGAAGGATGATGAAGGAACATATAAAAAGTAAAGCAAGTATTTAAACATACAACACAATTCTTTCTTGTTATACTCGAAGGGAAGTGTCCCTTATAGTTACGTCTGTAGTAAAACCATACAGGTTTTCCTTTATAGGTATTTCTAAATACTAAAAAGAAGGTTGAACGAAGGGAAATCGTTGACATACCATCAGAATTAAAATATTCTATACTTGTCGCTAAATCGGCTTGTTTATATAGCTTGCCTTTGTAATTTTTACGGATATTTGTATGAGGGCTTTCCTTTATGGGCTCCTGTTCATTAGTACTTGATACCGAATTTGTGCAGAAGTGATGAAGTGGCGGAGTTAGATGAATACCAAAAACATGTTTTCGGCCAACAATCATATCATTTAGGGTGACTTTTACAAACTTGGAAATTAAGGGGGCCTGAAACAAATAAATGGGTATTTTTCTTGAAATATGACTTTTGGTTATTTGGGATGTCTGAAGAACTTTTTATTAATACTTGTTCACCCCCTACCATGGCATATAATGCTTGCTAGCATAAAAATTGATTGAAATGAGCCCTGTGTAGCAATACAAAGGTATGGAGACAGTCTAAAACGTCAATTAACAATAGACAGAGCTGTATCGTGAGGTATCAAGGTTTGGTAGGTATTACAAAGATGAATAATTTACAGTTGGAAACCTTGTATTTAATGGCCTGAGGTTGGTTGCATGAGATCAATTCACTGTTCAAATTCTCCTAAGTTTTAAATTTCACATTGTCTTGCACTTATCTTCATTCAGTCATTTCATAGATTCTTTGCAAATCATATTTCCTGTCTAGTTTTCCATTACCAGTAATATTATTACCTCAGTTTCTCTGCTTTTCATTTTACTTAGTCCCTACTGTGCTTATGTCACGTGGAAACTTGATTTGATCCATATTTATACAAGTCTATGCTGAATGATGAGTGGGTCAGGAAGGAATGATGCTTCAGCTAAAGATACAAACTATCACCTTAAGAGCTAAGTAGTTATCAATCGATAACATTATTTCAATTCATATTACAGTTGAAATCTTAGGTCCTACCAGAGGTGTGATACTTAACAAAATAAACTAACACTATAATTTACTATTTTATTTAGTTCACATAAAATTTGGTACAACTGAGGATCGGAAAATAGTATACAGCACACAAAATATGTGTGGAGTACGATATTGTCAAACCGTGGAAGGTGGTTTTCTTACAGAGCCACTCCACGAGTTTTGATCCAAGGGTTTGACCCACAAGGCAGTGGAGCAACGTTATATGTATTCCCATGGTGGCCAGTGACCAAAATAGTTTCATACGCTGGTTACCACCTCGGGTTGCTGGAGTTGTTATTCACCATTGGTTTGCGACCCGAGTTTACAAACACGCCAGATGGACCCACAGTATGCACCAAGTCTAGACGCCGGTCGTTCACTTTCCGTTCTTTTACTTTTGCAAACACTTCTACCACGTGAAGGCAGTGAGTAGAGCTTTCCTAACAGAGACTATAAAAATTTGACCGTATGGGAGCATTGCAAGAGGGTGAGCAGACTTTTCTTACCCTTGGCCATATCAATGTGCTTGTTAGGGGGAGGCTTATAATTGAGATATACAAGACCATCTGATGTTTGAGATGCCGTGGAAAGTCATAACGTTCATTTTTACGGTGGAATTCTAGAATCCTACTATCTCGGTTATCAAAAACTATAGTGTTTCGATAATTAAGTTAAATTGTGCTACATCAGCTGATACTATCAGTACGAAACCAATACAGGGGTTCAGCTCTGATGTGCCGAACTGACGATCCAGATATGTGAAGATAAAAATGGTTAGATTTGAACTATGCAACTTCATAGAACCATAAATAAGAAAATACTTGTGAAGGGCATCAGAAGTAGATAACCGCAGGGAATATATATCAAACGCATTCGGATATCAACTACAAGGATAGATCGTTATACTGTCGTGTTATATTGAACAGGATTCAAATCATTCAAGTCTGATTGAACTATTTCTAGGAAGCCTACCCGAACTGAAGATACCTATGATATGGTAATAAGGCCGTCTTTCCGAGTGGTTTAAAACACACAAAAGTGAGATGACGGGCCAACAGTAATTAAGTAAACCAGTGTTTACAAAACAGAAGAAGCAATTATCTACCTTCGACAAAATACTCATTGCTCTTGGTAGCGCTTAATACAATTAACGCGCCTGTAATGCTTATCGCCCAGTTTCAGTTTTTTCAACTTTGTTTTGAAAGAGCTAACAGATGGAGCTTAAATCACATGTTGAGGTAATGTCTTCGTAAACTCTCTGTTTTGGAAAACAGAAAAATGGGGGCATATCAGATGCAAATTTATCACAGGGTGTATGAAAACTGTAATGAAGTTACCTCTAGTTCTTCGATATGACAGTCGCAATAGGTTAAGCTTAGCCTGTCGGGCATCATACATGGGCTTCGTTATTCCGAGAATCAGCTTAGTTTCTGCCCTCCAAACCTTCACCAAAAGCTTACTGTCTTTTTTAAGTAGGGGCTAGCCGCATATATGCAGCACTCAAGCTTGGGACGCACAAATACGAAGTCAAAAACGTTCTAGCGTCAACATGACTTGAGGCCCTACGTTTTTGCCATAATGTTCGTTGGATACAGTGACCGTTTTCTAGATTTTTGAGTACGTTTAGATTGAGGTCAGTTTCGATTGGCAGTTGGGTCGCTGTTCGGATTCCTGTGTTTTTTGTGAACTGGTTAGATGATCTTAGGAGAATACTGAACGGCCGATTTATTATCTGATTTTCCTACAAGACCTAGGCTGTTCGCTGTTTTTGAAAGTGACTTTCGACCCCGTTTAGTCCCATTGATTAGAGTCCAGTCGCCTACCGTAGACGTTTCGAGGACTATAGCTACATTTGGAGAGTCTTTGCTAGGAGACATAAGTTTAAAAAGATATTCTAATACCGTCGATATTATGGTGGCCCTGAGCCTCAACATATCCCCACTAGTTTTCGTGCTTTTTCCATCAGTACTTATTTTGTCTAACAACTTCCGCTTTACCCCATCGCGCGTCTTGGTTTATTTATTAACTCAAGAACAGCTATTTTCAGGATTACTGACAATTTTTGTCAAAACTACCAGGAGAATCATCATATCGCTCGGCGAATCCTCAGCTTTCATGTTGTATGTGCGACATGTTCACATGCGATTTGACTCATTAAGTCTGTTGTAAGCAGTTACTGTAATGTTTGTGTATGTTTCGTGAAATCCACCTTTTCATCTGTCTCACTGCATATCACAGGTGATGACAAAATGGCGTCCAGGTGGCTTACATATTTTCGTAGTGATCATGGTGAAATATAAGTTGTTTAACACAATCTGGCAAATATCTGTGACTGTTAAAAAGAATAGTATATCCAAGATGGGTGAAACGGATAAAAGCGGGCAATGTTAAAAAATTTACGATATACTGAAACTATCCTTCTGACATGAAAAACACTAAAACTTGGAACAGTTGGTTGGAGCAAAGCCATGGGTAACTATTAACTCGGATAAAACTCGAAGAGAAAAGTAGTTTACTGAATGTTGAGCTCGAGACAGATTCTTTGGATAAAAATGGCATCTTTGTGAGTGAAGACACAAGTTTTAGAAGTGCGAATCACTTCAGGATAATACTTCCTACCAATTGTTATATCCTAATAAAGATTAAATTACGGGCAACTTCTGAGGACTAATAAGCGGCTAATATTATATATATTCTTATTTATAACTATTCAGTAACTAAATTATGTATATCCATATTCTTATTATACTCTTCATTTTGATCTAAAGATTATTATTGTACGCTGTACTGTACTGAGAATGTATATGTCTCATTTCAATTGGCAAATAAATCACATGATAATTAGCCGGACTTGAAGTCGCAACATCAGTAATATACAAAACCCAATATACTTGTAATGAACTAGTATAAAACTGAGGATTTCTTTGTGCCCATTTGTTGTTATTTCAGTCAGGTTCTAAGTTTCTGGCAGAGTTCAGTGGGATGGGTTCAGCCTAGTTACCCGACTGAACTATTCTTACTAAGTTTGTTAATTTTCTATTCGCATGTCTTCAAATCTGAGTAATCCTATTTGTCTCAGGGTAGTAGAGTTTCTGGAACCAGCAGCTACAGCTAACAGGTTGAATATCGGTTAACTGCAATGCGAAAAATAACAAATGAGGAAAGTTGAATGTGGAACAATTGAGAAAGGACGATGGTCAGGAGAAGCGAACAAGTAATACGATTAATTATCCATGTGGATAGTATGAGGAGTCAAAAAAGTGATAATAACAGATATACGTCAGTGACGGCAAGTGAAATGCTTAGGAATAGTCTAATGTTATAAAGTGATAGTAATAAATTCAATGCTAAACAAGTTGCGAGACATGTTCCAGGTTTAAATAATCCAAAGAAGAGAGTGAAATATATGATTGAGCACGTGGTCGTTAAACCTCCTCTTGAACTTATTCATTGAGAAAGCGTGATCATTTTCAGTGGAAAAGGATCTCAGATGATATCAATTCTTAGTTTGAAAAAGTAAAGCCCTGGCTGAGTTTTTGCTTTTCTGTGTGGTATTTTTCGAGGATTATCTATTGAGAAACAAGAGATCAGTAGCTCCAGTCAGTCGTCTCTCAATAAGCTTTTATCAGTTTAAAATCTCAGATTTAACAACATGTTTGCACTGGTATTTCGTTTACTTTCGACCCTTCGACGCTCCTGTTGTCTACTTCGTGTTGCCCTAGTACAGTTTAAGGTAAAAGAGATGATATAACAGGCTGAACGTCATTTTTGGCATCCCACGCGTCCTAATTAAGTTACCTACTCTGCGCTAAATGTGGTTTAACGTTTTAAGCCGCATTGCATATGGTAAACCGAGCAGCTCCGTAACTTTATGGGTAGTAGCCTTCTAAACAGAGGCTTGTTCTCCGTACATAATTTTCCGGTTTTGATCTCACTAAGGCTGTGTAAACCATGGTGAATATATTCGAGTCTAACTAAGTGGAAGGTCGTTTTAACGCCACTACTATTCATAACCTTTCAGACACAACGTTACCGCGGTAGCCGCATTCTAAGGATCGCGACTAACTATGACTGTGCAGATCACTGTGAGACATGACCATAGATACTAACTCTAACCGTACATTACGTAAACTGGTGTTTTCACAATCAGTGTGTGCGCAGACAAAGCTGAACACGCTGTTTCGGATCAAGGACAACTAAGATAAGCTTATCAGTATGTCCAGATCTTTCCAAAGTGCAGATGGATTAAGATACTTTGCTAATTCTGTAGAAGTTCGACTTCAGCTCAAAGTAGCACTGGAGACCTCATGATTAGAGGAGTATTATTATCAATTACTAATTATTTTCTACAAGTTTGTTGGATAACATTTTTACAGACATGAAAATGACATGCGTGAACGATTTACAGGCAGGGCGCTACTTTAGTAGGCTTATTAAGAGGCGGCACAAATAAATCTGAATATCCTTATGTTGGAATGTTTATGGAGCTATATCAGCCAGATTTTTGTGTCATGTCATCATTTAATAGGTTTGTAGTTGCTGTCAAGTGGCGAGTAGGCGTAGTGTTTGATACTAATACACACGAACACGATTTATTCTAGTCTTTGAAGAGATTTCAATGAATCAAACAGCATGCTACTTGAAGTCATACTTGCTTTCTCAATAACTCTATTCTTTTCATAGAAAACTGTGAGTTTGAGCACATAAGCATCTTTTTTCACTTGTATTTCTATGCTCATGCGCCTTGTATTTGTTTGTCATTAACTATTCTATCCAACCCCACTCTCTTTACCACACTACACCCTATCTATTTTGCTTTATATTGACGCTTGTAATGAGTAGTATGGTGAGGTGTCATGGTTCCTTCGCCGGTTCTCTCCGCTTCGTTCCTCTAATTGTCTGTCACTGGCAATAAGCTCATGATTTGATTAATTTTAGTCCGTAATTTTCTAACGCGTATTAGGTCGATAATTAGCTACAAAGGTAAGTGGCATCTGTACAATGTTAACATCATCACTCGATGAAATCGAAGTCAACAGGCTATAAAGGTGTTTGCACAAGCCATGACCTTGATATACGCGTATGCCAGGTATATGATTCAGACGTAGGACGAACCTTCAAATCCATGAGTCAAGTTGGAGGGCGAAGCTCATGCTAGTCGCTATTGTTATGATGACCTGTAGTTGAGGTTTCTTGACAAAGGAATACCGTGATATATAACAATTAGTCTTGACGTGCAACAAGGTGGAATGGATCTGAGTAATGAATGGAGAGTCGGAGTAGGAAATGGAAAAGTCGTTTGTTATATTTAAGGGGAAAATAAAGTGCTTACAGACGCTCATAGCTATCAGTTATCGTTTTTGATTCTTATCTACTGTCCTCCCATTTCATCGAATGCCAGTCATTTAGTCATAGCATGAGGGCCTGGGGTGACTTATGAATAACAAGGTTAACTTAAAACTTGAATCTAAGTAGTAGCAAACACAAGAAAAGTCTCAATTTCATACACCGGCTGCTTCGTCCACAATTATAAGGAGCATGAAAAGAAAGGGATATAATATCACTCAAATTTGGGTGGATTGTTTTCATTCACATCACCACCAATGGCTGTTGGTAAACAACTTCTCCCTGCCTTCTTTTGTGATCCTAGGTTCATTCAGGATGATTATTAGATTAAATATTGTGAACCACACGAAGTTATGTCTCAGACCTCGTTGTAAAACACCGCTAACACAAATGTCATGTCACAGGCATATCAGGGTTTTCAACTTATGGGCTGTGTGTAGAATAACAGTGCTATATTGTATATTACAACAGTATAAAGTACTGTTTTTCGTAAAAGTATGGGCATTTAGGTTGGTATGAAGCCTGAAAATTGTGTATCCAAGTACACGAAAACTGTATGAGTATAGTAGTTATAAACTAGGGAAGTAAGGAGGTTAAGTCAGTGGTAGGTCAACTAGATGTAAACGAAAGAAGTAATCCAGTGGGAAATGGTCGCGACGGAACTCACTTTATTTAATGTTTGTACCATCCGGCCGGGTGATAGTTTGAAGCCCGGGAAATGCGGAACCGCTGGTAGTTGAGCAGAAGAATATGAAGTCCACGCGACCACTCATTAGG